AGATGAGTAACTTGGATCGACGTGCTTAGGTTGTACATGAATCTCTTCTTCTTTACCCTGCTGTACTTAATAATAAATGCAAAAGAAATAAATAAATAAAGGAGGAAGGCACAAAAACAATAATGGTGCAACCACATTGCTCGGAAATGTTTTTTTTTTTTTGTCTTTATTTCTTACGAGAAAAACAACTTGTTTTTCATCTTCTGTCCCGTTTTCCCTTTCAAGATACATACGACAAGTTTTAACTTAAACCACCATTACCTTTCACAGACAAACACAAAGTTCACTACTCCTGAAAACACGGGGTTTGGGATAGGGTTGGAGGTCGACGAAATAAAGATGAAAAAAAGAAGAAAAAAAAGAAAAAAAACAAAAAGCAAGGACGTTGAGGAGGGCCCTCACGAGGGTGGAACGTAACACCAGTACTTTGAGGAATGTATCTGATCACTATATGGGGAAGTGTTTTTTTTTTTTTTTCATGACGTTGTAATGCCCTACCAACTAGGCAGGGTGAATTTCACGGGGTGACATGTAACTGTCTCAGCTCTGTACCATCCTGTATCCTCCCTCAATCACAACACAAAGGAGTTTTTTTTTTTTCCTGTTGTTTGTCCGCTACATGCCCTCATTGAGGGCACAGTCACCCGAGCACCTCATATGATGTATCAGATGGTTATCGAGGCTTTCAAAAAGTTTCATTTTTTATTCAATTTTTCTTCTTCCCCTCCCCCCCCCCTCGTTCCTTATTGGATCAAAATGCCCCTACTCAGCGAAACTCGTTGCGCAGTGAAAATCAAGCTCGACAAAAATAAGATTGGGGGTAGTGGTGATTTAAGGGAAACTAGCAGTAAATCCTTAACATGCCTGAAGCAATCAATATTGTTCAAGGGTCCTTATGGTCACACGAAAGGAAAAACGAGAGTAGTTATGTAATGTTTTGACTTGCGAGTAAAATAGGAATCAGACAATTGTTCCTCAAAATGAATATGGAGTCAGATTTTCTATAAAACTAATATATTTTTTTATGCTGTTTTTCCAAGCCCGATTTCGCCCCCAATAATATCTCATAAGAACTCTTCTCCAAACTGTTTTATTGAGTTTGTTTTTGTGCCCAACCTTAACATGTGATTCCTTGATTCCTCTGACAATACTTATTAAGGTCGCCAACAATTTTGTCGCGACAGATTGTGCCATTGACGTAAGTATAAACCTACATTCATGAGGAAAAACTACTTATGTGACGATAAACAAATGACATTATTGTGACCATGATTGCATTATTGTTGTTACCTTGAGAGAAACATGAGGAACCTGCAGGACTGTGAAGTGGAGGGAGACATGTAAAAAAATACATAAAAACAAAAACGTGACTGCAAACTGCATTCCTGAATATCGTGAAATAACGATTGATTCATAATATAAGACTGAATGAAGGGAGATCAACAATCTTCATATATATTTATAGAAACGGAGAAAAATTTCAAACACTAAAAAATTAGGACCTTAAATTTGTTCTTTCACATCGACTATAAACTCATATGAATGAGCAAAGAACTCAATTCGCTCTGCCGCATGGAGAGAAAACGGTGCGGACTCGAGTGAAACTACATAGTGAGAAACAAAAACGGAATGAGAACCGTAAAAATTTTAAGACACCAGATGCGAATGACCACGTACATTAAATTGGTAGTATGACGTACATTAATTTTGCTTTTTGTACATATGTTGCGTAAAAAAATAAGTGATTTTTTTTTTGTATTCACACATATTTGAACGTAAAAATTTGTAATATAATCATCATTACCACAATCCTTGCTAAGGATCATTATGCATTACTACCATTCACAATGTAGTGCAACTAAGAAATAAATTGAAATACGATGGTGAAAAAAATATGAGAAGAAATGCATAAAAAAAAAACATGACATATGGTCAAATACCTAGTTTCAAACAAGTGTTATTGTTAAATTCACACCTAGGAGTATTCACACATCCCTCTACCACTGCACTTGGATTAGGTCCTACCCCTTGCCAGATTCGGCTCTCTCTCCTACTCCATTTCTTGCACTTCGAACATTTCACACAGTAGACTGATATTTTTTAAATACCTTTGTCATGTACGATAATAACGTAATCGCATACTACATGTTGATAAACTTTTAAAATCAAACGGTGACCTATATCCATTTGCAAGCAGCGAAGCAAATGCCAACACATAGACACCACATTGATTAGTGTCTTTTTGCTTGGGAGTATTCGAAACGTTTAGAATCGGCTCGAAACTTCTGAAATCTATTCGAGCACATGTTGTTGGTGCAATCTTTTCGTCCAAGAAATCTCGCACAAGTGATACAACACTTTGTGGGAACGAGGTCGCTCTTGTTGTTAGAGAGTCATAGTATTCGAACACTTTCAATCGCATGTGAATTGCGAGTTAAGTCCAATGTCGGCGTGCTGGATCGTTAAGCGGCAGCATGAACAAGTCTGTGCTGCGAAAATCATTCCTAGCAATTTTATTGTGTTTGGGGTGTTTGTCCTCTACCAATGCAGGATAGAAGAACGACGACAATGCTCTGATTTGGCGACTGTTTTCTTCTTGAAGTCCTTGTGTGTTGGTTATAAGTTGCATGCAAACATTTATAACTTCATCGTTTAACCATCCATTTGGTTCCGCAATGTGAGCTATGTCTTCGATCTTTATGATCACGTCTCTTGTCGCCAACACTCCTAAACGACCTATTGCTTGTGAACCCTGGTTGCGCATGCTTTCATACTTTGCTCGCATTCCCTCTTCCTCGTTGAGGCGCACGGGCTTCGTCACCAACTCGAACTTCTGCATGTGAAGCTCCATAACTGCAGAAAATTTGAGAAGAATAAATGGGGGATAAACAGTCACACAAACAACACACACAACAAAAAATAAAGACCATTTATCATAATTTTTATACTTTGTTTGCTTAAGCGCATTCACAAAAAACTTTTTTATTGGAACAAGCATAAAGACAATGCTGACAGTATGTCGTTCGTAACTAACATCAGAAACGCTTTGTATGGGAGTAACGTTTACTTTAAAATCCTTATGAGACACACATGACCACAAATCCCAATCTATGTTCCTAAATTTTGTACCTTCTTTTCACATGAAAGTCATGATGCGTCCTGTATTCATTCTTTTTTTTTTTTTTTTTCTCTTTCTCTCTTTTTTTTTTTTTTTTTTTTTCTCTCTCTCTCTCTCTCTCACACACACACACACACACACATACACCCCACTACTGGTGTTCGGGTTCATGTCCCCTTCCCTTTGCGCTCCTCGATAATCTACGAACAGGTTGCAACTTCTCTCTCCTACCAAGCTGTCGAATATGCACAATTATCAATTGTGCCCCATCTGTGATACTGCTCTTCAGAACTTCATCGTCTAGAGATCCACCTTCAATGGTCGGGATACCGAATACAATTCCTTCGGCAACATTATGGATGTCGTCCTCATCATTGTTGTTGACCTCGTCGTTAATGACAATTTTCTTTGCTTGTTTTCGACATGATGGATCGATATTGTTGCGAGTAAAAGGCTTACTCGTTTCCTGCAACTGAGATTCTGGCAGGACCTGGGACAGTCCATCGCTTCCATGCTCACATTCCACTGCCTCAACACCGTCTTCGCCATCTTTTTCATCATTTGTAATATCGTGTAGTTTATAAACATTGTCCTCCTTGTTTGCTTCCTCATCCCTCTTCTCGTCATTGTTGTTGTCCATCCTTTCGTCGTCGTTGTTTTCAAATTCTACATACTCACCCCTTACATTTCTTCGCTAAACACATCATGTTCATTGTGCTCATTACTTCGCATTTCGTCCTGGTTCGGGTGGTCCGTGTTTTTGCATGCGCTATCGTCAACATCCATATCTTGTTCCCCTCCAAATTTATGTCCACGCTTGGTTATATCTTTCTAATGCAACGACTCTTTGCAACCCTCATGGTTGCGAGGATTGAGTATCTGATTCTCTCCGATCACATCCTCAGCCATGCCATCATTGTCTTTATGAATGGTCTGCCCTTCCGGTATACTTGGGAGCACCCACGTGTCTGATGGAAGTTGTGAAGGCGACGTTTCGAGGTCATAAAACTCTGCAAAGAACTCCAGTTGCCCCAAGTGCAAGAGACTGTCACATAATTCTGTTCACCTCTGTTTGATGAGTTTGATGCTTGCATCCGAGTTCATGAATTGCAACCTCCCCTTGATCTCGTCACGTGCATGATCTTGAAATGCATTTCTCCCCATCCACTTTGTTACTGACCACTCTCCGTCGTTGTTCGCAAAAGCATACGCCCATTGTCGATGCGACACACACGACTGAAATTTGTAAGGGTGTCAAATGATGTCATGACCCCATTTTTCTTCAGGCGCAAACACATACACCTTACCGTAAAACGCAGGCTTTGTGGTACTAAGTGATGCATGAGCCGACAATAGGTCTCCAGGAGCCAACTGCATCACCTTTCCGTCATTGCCACTGGAATTGTCCGCTTCCACGTTGATGGTACGATCACTTACCATGTCTTCTGGTGCAAGCAGCGAACGAGGTTGTGGGATACGAAGTCAATCGCTTTGTGACAATTCATCACTGTCACCGTCGTCGAACGGGGCTGCAGCGTCAAAAGTGGAAGCATAAGTTTCCATCGTTAACTCTCATATTTGATGGTCAAAATGCAATAATTCAAGCCGCGCAATGAAGGCATCGATTGCAGCGACACTCGCATTGTGATACGTCTTCAAATGAGAAATGACAACAGTCCGACAGATGATGTGGTTCAAATCATTTGAGTTTTGTGAAAAATTTCGAAATAAAAATGCCCACACATCATGACGATGTTTATCTATTTTGTAGAACATATTATTACAGTCTGGGTTCATTGTTTCGCATGGTTTCTCACATGTGCATCGTTGTGGTATCAGCGAAACCTTCTTCACAATGTATGCGCTCAAATAATCAAGCATGACGGGCTCCGCATCAATAGCGATAATGTGCCTTCCTGATGAAACCACCCCCCACACGGCACCAACTTGAGGTCGTCCTAGCATAAGGACAATGTCCCCAACTTGTACGAAATGCTCACAGAATTTACGAACATTCTCACTACATCTCTCCCTGTCCCATACGCAAGAACTTTTACACCAGTGAGATCCTCATCCGCGAATTTCGCTTGCGGGAATTTCTTGTCCACCACGTTCTTTCTGAATACTCGATGCTCTTGTTCTCGTAACTTGTCAAGATCCTGAGACACCTCATTGTGTTTTCCTGTTGCTGTCATTTCTTTGTACTTCGCTCTTTCCTTGATTGCGGCCATGATGTCCGTGATATCGGTCGTTGTCACACGGACTGTGTTCCTCTTCACATCATCATCGTCAAGCTTACAAACGATGAACGTGGAATCTGCTTGTCTCATAAGAAGGTGTCCAAATTGTCGCATCGAGTTTCGCTGGTTATATCGCGCCCACGATCCTTCCAAAAGGTGGACATCCTCCCACTTTGTACACTGCTTGAAAATCATTTCCTCCGCATGGAAAGGGACGAGAAACACTTACGTCAAAAAATTGTCGCAATACAAGTTCATAAAGGCTTGAAGTAGATGAAATTGTTCTTCCGTTGATCAATCCATCTGTCCGACGCCACAAAGATCCAACCACACGAAATGGGTTGGGAAGTTTCGAGTGACTTTTGCCACTTTGCTGGAATCGATAATGGCATCCAACGGGTGGATGCGCATCGGATTGAGCGATGTTGACATTTGGCCGTCTTTCCACTCATGCACAGATGGTTGGTCCGTATGTAGCTTGTTCAAGTTTCAATTTCTAGTGTCATTATTTTGTCCAACACCCTGTACATAAACGCCTTGAAATCTGCACGCATGTTCTTACTCCAAGACTCTGTCGTGTATCCGCCTTGTGATTTTTCCGTCGTTCCACCAAGGCGCATGGGCATCATTTTCGCCAAGTCCAAAGGGATTTCCTTGTGTCTCTCCTCCTACGTTTTTTTGTCAAATTCTTTGTGAGCAAAACGATCCAATACCTCCTGCAGACCAAGAAAGGTATGATCATTCTAGTCTTTCGGTTGCTTGTCGAATAACATGAAATTGATCATACAAAACGTGTAACGCTCTTGCTTTATGTCATCTTGGACTTCTATTGGGGACTGCCGTCCTCCCCTGCCCTTTGGCGCTTGTGTTATCATGACCTCGCCGGCCAATATGCGAAGAAACGCATACTCTTTTTTTTCCATACTCATGCTGCGGAATGCATGCCATGCTGTCAAATGCGACTCTTGGCAGCTATGAAGTAGTGAGACCCGCCGGTACCCCGAACAAAGTGTATCATAATTTTTCCCTCCTTCACATCTTGTGTTCCTAGACCTTCACGTGTTGCTATACCTGGAACACCTTTCTTTGACATTGGCTTTATCCCATCGCTTCTAGCAATGTTGCCTTTCTCCCACTCATCATAAAATTCTTGAACCACTGCCCACACTTCGTCTGATGTTTCGGCAAGTGCAAGGAAAGGTCGCAGTATATTCGACCACTCAGGATCATGATAAACTCCATAAGTTGTCATTTCCCAATAGACGCGATTGTTCATCATACGCATTGCAGCATTTTGAAAATCCTTAAAATTCTTCTTCTTCCAACATCAGACTCACCAGCTCTTCCGTACACGGCCTCCAGTTTTTCCATGTCCAGCCATAACTTCCGTATTGACGCCACAGTTCCACGCAGCGACGACGATACACCTTTGAGCTCCTTCGTATTCTCTTCCGTTGCAATGTGGATGTACCCTTTCAGTTCGTCATTGTCAAAATAAACAGGACGCACCCTCCAGTTTTGGAAACCTTTATCTATGGCAAGTTGAGAGACATTTAACAATTCTCTAGCAGCCGCAGTAGTATGTTGATAGGCAACTGCGTATCAATGATAGGTGGACACTCGCGATATTTGAAAATCTTGCGGTTTTACGCGCTGTGCTTTTCCACCGTTGTCAAGACGCGGGGAAACAATACGTGCGACAATGAGGTCTGACTTCCTCCATTGTCCATGACCCTCATAAGATTCCTCAATTACCAGTTTTATCCCCACAACACGCTCTCGCTCGAGTGGTCGGTGGTTGTACATTGTCTCCTGTGGTGGTATGTCCAAGACTCTGCTTACGTCAATAAGCACCTGTGGCAGATTGGTTAATGCCTTCCTCTCCGTGTCGTACTCAAGAAAAAAACCCTCATCATAGTTGATGGACTTGACCTTTCGTGACAATGCAATTTCACGAAGCGAGTGACACACAAGATTTGTAACAAGGTGATTTTCTGCTTGAGCAAGTATGTCCTCCTTCCTTATCGTACGATTCTTCTCCATCACACCTCCACGGGCTGACTTTTGTTTTCTCCCTTTGCCTCGACCTTCTACAGCTCCATCCCGACCTTCAACAGCTCCATCAACTATAATATTATGTCT